CCAGTCAGTGTCTTCCATACACTCCCGCCTCCCCCAGGGGAAATCTCTTTTCTTTCACTCAATGCTGTGTTGGTGAGGCACACTTGCTTTTTTCTTATTGCTGATTACTATTCCATTATATCATTATGCCCCAATCTGTCCATTCTTCTGTGGATGAACCCTTAATTAATTTATCTAACTTTTGGTTATTATCACTAAAGTGGCTAGAAACAGTCCTGTAGTTTTGGTTATTATCATTAAAGTGGCTAGAAACAGACACGGCCAGACAGTACTCCTGAGAAGTTGAAGTTTTCACTCCAACCAGCACTGTACAGAAAAAATAAACCCCTACCTTCCACCATACACAGGAAATCAATCTGAAATAGATCACAGAGCTAATGATGAAAGATAGAACAACAGAGCTTCCGGAAGGAAACATAGGAGGATATCTTCATGACCTCAGGATAGACAAAGACTTCTTAAATAACACAAAAGACATTAACCATAATGGAAAAACATCGATAAACTGGATTTCTTTAAGAACTTTGCTCCTCAAAAGATACTACTAAAAGAGTATAAAGACAAGCCCATGTGCAATGGAGATATAACAAAGGACTTATATGAAGGACTTTTACATATGAAACGATATATAAGGACTTTCATAAATCAATAAAAAATGGCAAGCTACTCAATTTTAAAAAGTGGTAGAAAGGCTCAAAAAGCCCCCTCCAAGAAAGAGATTATTCAAATAACCTGTTAGCATAAGAAAATATGTTTAACATCTCTTGCTTAACATGAGAGAAATAGAAAATAAAACCACAATGAAATACTCACTATATAAACCACCAGAATGGCCAAAATTTAAAAATAAAACTGACTTTCCTAAACGGGAAAGATGCAGTGCAACTGCAGCCCTCATACATGACTGGAGGGAGTGAAATTGGTGCAGCGACTCTGGAAAACTGTTGGCTGAACATATGCACATTCTGTGACCCACACTTGCACTCCAAGTATATACCCAACACAAATGAGTATACTGTGCACCCAAAGACATCTGCAAGAACGCTCTGAGCAGTGCCACATGCAATAGCCCGGAGCAGAAACAACTCAGAAGCACAACGCAAATAAATGGATTTTGAAACACTGTGGTAATCCACATAATGGAACACTGCCCATGAATGAAGAACAATGGACAATTGCTATAGTCAACAACACAGAGGACGCTCGCGGATGTACTGGGGGGCAAAGAAACAGGGGTCAAAGAAGCAGACGCAGGATGATTCTATTTATGGAAAGTCTAAAACCAGGTAACACCAGTGCAGGGGGCCAGCAGTCAGCCCAATGGTGACCTTTGAGGGGGAATGCCTGGGAGGGCACAGGGAGCAGGCTTTTAAGGTCTATGCCTAGACATGGGTGGTGGTTACATTTTTCTTGAACTAGCTTGAGTAGGCGTTGTTTCTTGTAACCTGGACCAAGCCATGCTTCCTTTCTTGCCCTCTCTCCTGCAACTCCCAGTCCAGCACCTGTTGCTTCAGCCACTAGGTACAAGCTCTGTGGTGGCAGAGACTGGCCACCTCGACCCTGTCCACTTTGGGATCCCCACCACCTGGCACATGTGGGTGCTCAACAGATTTTTCAAGTGCCTACATTGGCCTCCTTCAAATAACTTGCATTTTCCATTCTACTTTCTGCCTTACCCCACGCCTCACTCTCGCCTACCGTCCTTCAAAGCTCAACTCAAACCTCTCCTCCTTCAGGAGGCCCTCTTGCTTGTGCCCCAGCACTTGTGTAGCTCTCTCTCATTTTCTGGTTGTTCTAGCTATTGGCCTACGACCTAGCTTCCAAGCCCCTTGGGCATGACCTATAAAGGGATCATAAGAAATGATTTCTGTTAAGTGGGTTTGACACATTCTTTCATTTGTGTAACTGACCAAACCACCTCTATTGATTTTGTGCCTTCTCTGTGCCAGGCCTATGCTAGGTTCTACAATGGACCAGTGAAAAGACAATGGGGCTTGCAGTCTAGTGGAAGAAATGGACACTAATCACACCATTGCTCTCTTACTCTCTCTCTCTCTCTCTCTCTCTCTCTCTCTCTCTCTCTCTCTCTCACACACACACACACACACACACACACACACACACACACACGTCAGGGTGGTGAAAGAAAAGTCCAGAATGTTACAAGATAAAAGCAAGGAGGCCTGACCTTATTTGGGGTCTGGGGAGGGCTTCCTGAGGACTAGAAGTCTGAGAGGAGAATGAGTTAGCTAGAGAAAGGGCAGGAGAGGGGAGGCTGGGGAATGGGAATTACAAGCAGAGGGAAAAGCATGTGCAGAAACCCTGAGGTGGGAGGAAGCATGGCACCTGAGGATAACAGGTATGGCTCGGGTCTGGATGCTAAGGGAACAGATGGCTCAGAAGTGGCTGGAAGGTCAGGGTGGTGCTAGACTGGACAGGCCCTCATGGGCTCTGATGATGGTTTAGGGAAAGAAGCATGGGACTTGTTATCCAAGGTTTTAAGCAAGCAAGTCATAAGATCTGGTGTAGGGCGGGAGGGTCTGTGGCTTTGGTCACTTGGAAGCCCAGGGCTGAACTTCCAGAAGCCGGGGGTTCCTGCTCACCAGCAACTCAGCAGTCCTACACAGGATGGGCCCATAAGTTCCTGGAGCAAGTACCTCTGGGAAGGTTCCAGAACTCTACCCTGGGCTCCCAACTGCCTGCTGAAGATCCTTGTGGTGAATCACAGGCGTACCACCAGGGAGTCATTGTGTTATTTTAAGAATTTTTAGAAAAAACAGACAGAAAACAAAGCCTCCCCCTTCGTGGGTGGTTGGACCCACGTAGGCCTCTGCACTCTGACTCTAAGCATTTGTTCTTGTCCTGACCTTTTTATTGAGCAATTTTAGTTGAGTGCAGCCATTTTCTAGCTGGATGAGGTCAAGCAGAGGATGGCAGCATGGACTCTTAGCAGGGAGGTGGACGCTTCAATGTACAGTGTTGGCCCCAGGGCATACTGGGACAATGCAAGGACACAGGCCTGGAGGAGGGCATGCCAGGACAGGGAAAGGGGTCATAGGTAAAGGATCACTCTTAGGGGCTAAACCAGGATGGGGCGTCTCTCATCTGTCTGTAGGGTGGTTCTGAGATTCAGGGGAGTGGCCTAAAAAATGCCATCAGGGACCCTCTGACCCTCAGCACACAAGGCAAGGCAAGGAGGAACAGGTGGATGGGAAAAAAGCCAGGCTCGGCCCAGTCTCACCATGTGGAGGGCAAGTCAGCCAAGGGCAGTAAGAGTCAAGTCCTATATGGTACTTACTATGTGCCAGACATGGTTCCAGACACTTTACCGAGATGCATCATACTGTAGAAGAGGAAACTGAGTCATTAGGTATTTTGTTTAAGGTCACACAACCAGCATCAGAGCCACTCAGATGCAAGCCCAGGCAGTCTGGCTTTCAGTCCCTGCTGTGCTGTCCTCCTCTGCTAAGAGGTGTATCCACAACGGGTCTTTGGGAACAGAGCCGGCGGCAGGCAATACCTTAGCAGGTCTGCACCTGGGAGCCCCAGAGATCAAGGGTCCTGGCCTGGGAGAAAGGTGCTCTTAATTAGGTCCTAGGAACCTCTCAGAAAGACAAGGGTCTCCTGTGGATGGGCCTCAGGCTTCCCTAGATGCATGGATGACACTCTCCCCAAGTTTAGCTGACAGAGGTGCTGGGCAGTCATGCTCAGGCTCCTGTGCCCGATTTTCACATCATGCATTCATCAATTCATTTAGCAACTGTTTCACTGAGCATTTACCATACATACCAGTCTTTTAGGTGTCAGGAGGGCATATCATTTAACAGAGAGCCTTCCTTTCAGTGGTGTTGGGGAGAAGAGGAAACACACACACAATTCTTGAACTACAAATTATGAGAAGTGCTTTGAAGGAGAAAAACAATGGGCTATGATCGCATGTTATAGGAAGGGAGGATGACCTCGTCTTCTCTGGGAATGAGATTCCTAGACTGGAGGCTTTTAAACAGAGTTTCATGGAGCTCTAGGGTTCTGTGAAAGTTATGGCTAGAGTTATACAAACCTTTACACTGAATGTGAGCTAAACACACACACACACACACACACACACACACACACACACACACACTATGCATTTTAAAAACAGTAATAAAAAAGCACACTTGTATATAGTGTGTTATATACCACATTAGAAGCTGCTGGCTTTTTCAGATATTGACAAATCACCTTGACTTTGTGTGTGTGCGTGTACCTTGGAATAAAGTTCTCAAGCCCTTTCTGTGCAGTCACTGGAGTTTATTATAAATGAGTCTACTAATTAGGAAGGCTGCAGCACATTGGCTTTTATTTTATTTTGCAAAATGCAGGTGTGAGAAAACTTTTTAATTGAATTTACTACAACTCATTTTTATAAATTATGATATTATTATGCAGCCAAAATAAAATAGAGTAATGTATTGACTACTGAGGCTAACATCATTCATTATCCTGGGTGTCAAATTGCTGTAGCCATTGAAGTAGCTTTGTTGTTTTTATTATATCTTTTTATGGCAAGTAAATGTTGCATACTTGACCTTAAACATTCTCCTTCATATGTGTTTTAAATATTGATATTCTGGATAGGATTTCAATGAAAGGAAAAAAGAGCTTGAAAATGTCTGCTTTGGTTCAGCAGTATTGGCAACCTGGGCTGGCCTCCCTACTGTGTTCTCTCAGTCCAATCCCAGGTCCCTGTCCCCTACCCCCCACCACCCTCCCCTGGCCTCTCATTCCCTCACCGCTCAGACAACAGCCTGGAAATTCTTGAGTGAAAACCCATTGTTCTTGGGGGATGACATAGCCCGAGCTGATCTGGAACTGTGGCAGGTCATCAAACCAGATGGAAAAGGCTCTAGGGCCTAAACCTACCCAGAGCTCTGACCTGTTCCCAGGACCCAGGACAATAAACGCAACCCTACCCTCCCCAGGCCAGGAAGAGAACAGAATCAGGGCTGCACACTCACCCTTCTTGGTAGCCTCGAAGCTGTCATGGAAGTGAATCCTCTGGATGTCATAGGTCAAGGTTGTGTTGGGCAGCAGAGTCCTGTTCCTGTTGATGATGTTGGCAGAAAATCGAAAGGCATGCTCCTCAGCGTTCATGACCTGGGCGTTGGGGCCATCGGCATACTCGAAGATTCCTCCTGCGAGAGATGGGTAAAATTGAGTGTAGTGGGGAGGAGGAGTGGGGGCCTAGCAAGGGTGCTTGGCTCAGAAGCTTTTATGAATAAGCTCCCCCTACCCCAAATGTTCAACCATATCCTAGATCATCACTGTACATAGAAACTGTGCAGTAGCACAAGAAATAAGAAAATCCTCCTAGTTCATTTCACTTGACCAGCAAATTCCTGATAACAGAGCCCAATAGGGCCAAAATAAGATTACCAGCTTATTAATATTGCTGTGAAAATTCTCAATAGAGTTCTGGCAAGTAGAATCTACCAGAATATTATAAGGATAAGACACCATGACCATGTAGAGTTTTATTCCGAGAATCTAAGACTGGTTCAGTATAAAGAAATCTATGAATATCATTCCATCACATCAATAGTTCAAAGGAGTGAAAAAACCCATATGATTAACTCACAAAATGTAAGAAGGCATTTGATAAAATCCAATATCTACTGCTGTTAAGAATGCTTAATAAAATAGCACCAGAAAAGGCACTTCCTTGAAGCATCTTTAGCTCAAATTGGCCTTTAATATCATACTAATGGTGAAACACTAGAGGCATTCTCATTAAAGAAAAAAAATAAGGCACAGGCAAGAATTTATACCACACCATTAAGCAGTGAAATAAGAAAGAAAAGAATTTAGAGGCACATTTGGAAAGAAATACATTTTCATTTGCAAATGATATAAATGATATTTTTAAAAACCCTTAAAATAATCCCTAAACAGGAAAACAAGAGCTAGTCGGAGAGTTAAGTTAAATGATCAGTTAGCACAAATTAATAGTGTTTCTTTATATCAGCAACAATCAGTAAGAAAACTTAATGGCAAATAAATTTCCTTTACAATATCAGCAAAATATTAAATAACTAAAAATAAACCTAATAAGCAGCATGCAATTCTAGTTTTAAAAAATGACAGAAACAAATAGAAATGCCGTAAGTGAAAGTCATAAACATAGACTTCAGTGAAGAAGCATGTTGTGTTCCTGAACAGTAAGCCTCAAGGGGAAGTGTTAATTTTTTCAAATTAATTTTTCAGTTTAATTTAATGCCAGAGTCATGAAAGAATTTTCTTTTACTTGACAAAATAACTCTACAATGTATCTGGAAAACTAAACATGTTTTAAAACGAAGGCTGTGAGGCAACTTATACTGCCAGATTTTAAAATATATCATAAGCCAAATAATTAAGACCATGTTGTAATAGCATATGAAAACACAGATAGATCAAAGGACCAAGATCAAAGGTCCCCAGAAGGAGACTCAAGTAGAGATAAGTATTTAAAATATGATAAAGATGGCTATTTCCAATCAGTAAGTAAAGAATGAATTATTCATTAATTGTGATGTGACAATTATTCAATTATATGGGAGAAAATTTAACTTAGAATCCAAGATTAATCTCTTTATAACATGAATTCCAGATAAATTGAATATTAATAGCAAATGAGTAAGGAAAGAAGGAAAGAAAATATTATAAAGGTTCCAAGAAAGAAAATATAGGTGGATATTATACAGCACTGGAGTGAAAAAGGCCTTTCCAAGCATTTCAGGAACATCAGAAACCATACAAGAAAGATTGATAACACCACAGGAATAGCATAAGACTTCTATACATCAAAACTCCCATAAACAGAATTAAATTTCAAACACAAACTTGGAAAAAATATTTGTAACATATATGGCAATATAAAGGTTGATGCTTTTATTTTTTAAAAAGCAGTTAAACTCAACTAAAAAGACAAATGTGCCAATAGAAAAGTATGAAAAGTATGAGTGAGTATGAAAAATATGAACACTTCACAAAAGACTATAATACAAAAGAGCTATTAATGTATGAAGAAATGTGCAATCTTCCTAATAATTAAATAAACTCAATTTAAACCAACAGTGGGATACATTTTTTGCTCATCCAATTGTAAAGATCTAAAACAAACCATAACTCCAGCTTTGATGAGTGTGTATAGAAATAGACACCTGCCTAACTGTGGGTGGAAGGGGAAACTGGTACATCCAGTCTTTCTTGATGGCCATTAGAAATTTATCAAAAGCCCTAAAAATGTCCATGTCTTCAACTCAATACTTCAATTTCTGGGAACTAGCATCACCAGCAACAGTGGGTCATGTATGGGGGAGGAGAGCTAGAGGTGTCCGATGGGAGAAATAGAAAATAAATTGTAGCACATCCATCTAATAGCAGCAACAATCTAATGACATGAGACATATCCGTGATAGATTTTTAAGTGGACAATGGAGATTACTGCAGAGGTGCAGTATGACTCTATAAGAGGAAGAAGAGGAGGAAGAGGAGGAGGAGGAATTTACATCATTAAGCTTAAGATTAGGAGACATTGGTTCCTTTATTAATGACTTTGCATGTTTTTCAGATAAACCTTTGTTCTTTTTAAAAACCAACTTGATTGAGGTATCATTTACATCCCACAGACTCACCTGTTTTAAGGATATAATGATTTTTTTAGAAAGTATACTGAGTCGTGTGGCCATCACCACAATACAGTTTTAGAATCTTCCCAATAATCACTTGTGCCCATTTACAGTCAGTCATAGTTGTCACTCCCACCCCAGGCAACCACTAATTTATTTTCTGTCTCTAGAGATTCATCTTTTCTGGACATTTCCTATAAACAGAATCATGAGATACGTGGTCTTCTGCACCTGGTTTCTTGCCCTTAGCATAATATTTTTTAGGTTTGTCCATATTGTAGCATGTATCAATGCTTTATTCCTTTTAATTGTTAAGTAATATTATTTTGTATGACTGTACCACATTTTATTTACCCAACAACCAGGTAATGGGTACTTGAGTTGTTTAACTGTTTTGAAAATTTTAAAAATAGTAACTTCCAGTTTCTAGTCGGGCGAGTAATAAGCTTGGAAGTTGCCACTCCATCCTAACAACAAGTGAAAAGATGAACAAACGGAAAATATCAACAACTCTTCTTAGAGCCATAAGAGGAGTGAGGTCACAGGGCACACTGCTACTTCCAAAATTGGACAGTATGGTGAACAGGAAGAATTACAACTTCTTAGTGCAGAAAACTATGAGCAGAAACCTCCACGGGAAGTAGAATCAGGGTAAGAAAATCTAAACTAACTGACATGTTGCTGAAGGTTCAGTGTAAACAAGTCTGAGACCAAAATTCCAGGGGGGCATTCACTGGGGCCCCACACTTCTGTGAGTTACTGGGGGAGCTCCACAGGATTTTTACAATGAATACTGGAGAAAAATCCACATGTGCTTTGGGCAGTGGGAGGGGAAAAGGAACCATTTTGAAATATGCCACAGCATTCTGTTTTTCTTTTTTTCTTTTGATTTGGAGTCTCATTCCTTCGCGCAGGTTGGAGTGCAGTGGCACACTCACAGCCACCCCAGCGTTGACCTTCTGGGCTCCGGTAATCCTTCTGCCTCAGCCTTCCAACTAGCCAGAACTACAGGCATACTACCATGACAGGCTAATTTTTGATTTATTGTAGAGACGAGGTTTTGCCAAGTTGCCGGGCTGATCTCGAATCCTCGGGCTCAGGCAATCCACTCACTTCGGCCTCCTAAAGTGCTGGGATTACAGGCTGAGCCACAGGGCCCGGCCAGCATTGTGTTCTTTTTTTAAATTAATTTATTTTTTTAAATGTAAAGATGTGAGATACAATTCAGGGTTAGGTATACAAACACTGATCATGCAGCTACCTGTGTTAATGAGGTACGCCTCCTCCCTGCCCTAACAGTTTCCAAGGTTTATCCTCAGGTGAAGCTAGTTAACCAGAACCTACCCTGCCAGGGTTTTAGCAGAGCCTAACTGACCTGGTGGAAGGGAAATACGCAACTCCAGCCTACTACAGCCATGTATCCCATCTAAGGGGTGGGGACGAGAAGCTCTTGTGAAATTCAACGCCCAGGCCCTCACTAAAAGACTGCAACCCCATCATAGGACTATAGAATGCTTCCCCTCCCCGACATCTTACTACTTCATCAGCAAAGGCTTATTTACAGCAGTTCCTTCTGCCCAGTACATCATATCCTGCTAGCAAGAAAAAAAATTACAGGGCATACTAAAAGGCAAACAAACAAAACCACAGTTTGAAGAGACAGAGTACGCATCAGAACCAGACTCAGGGTAGAGATGTTGGAATGATCAGACCAAGAATTCAAAACAACTATGATTAATATGTGAAGAGCTCTAATGGATAAAGAGGAAGCATGCAAGAACAGCTGGAAGACATAAGCAAAGAGATGGGAATTCTAAGGAAAAATGGAAAAGAAATGCTAACGATCAAAACACAGTAACAAAAGTGAAGAATGCCTTTGATGGGGTTATTAGTAGACTGAACACAGCTGAGGAAAGACTTTCTGAGCTCGAGGCTATCTCAGTAGACACCTCCAAAACTGAAAAGCAAAGAGAAAAAAGACTGGAAAACCAAAACATAGAACATAATATCCAAGAACCGTGGAATAGCTACAAAAGGTATTGACCATAATGAAAATGCCAGAAGGAGATGAAAGAGAGAAATAATCAGAAGAAATATTTGAAGCAATAATGACATTCCCCAAATTAAAGTCAGACACCAAAGCACAGATCTAGGATGGTCAGAGAACACCAAGCAGGATGAATGCCCCTAAAACAACAGCTAGATATATCATTTCCAAACAACAGAAAATCAAAGATTAAAACAAAATCCTGACAGAAGTCAGAAGAAAAAAATACATCTTACCTCTGGGAGAAAAGATAAGAATTATATCTTTTTCCTCAGAAACCATGTAAGCAAAAAATCATGTAACAGTGAAGTGAAATATTTAAAGTGTTATTAGAAAAAAATACCAGCCTAGATTTCTGTACCCTGAGAAGTTATCCTTCAAAAGTGAGGAGAAATAAAGATTTGCTCTGACAACAAAAATTGAGGAAATGTGTTGTCAGTAGATCTGCCTTGCAAGAAATGTTAAAAGGAGTTCTTTC